CTCTCTCTCTCTCTCTCTCTCTCTCTCATTCATAATCCCTTCTCTCTCTCTCTCTCTCTCTCTCTCTCTCTATCTATCTATCTATCTATCTATCTATCTATTTATCTATCTATCTCTATCTCTGTGTGTGTGTGTCTGCTGTGTCAAACTCAAGCGGCGGTGTGGGCTACAGGGATAGTTACGACCTTGCCGCTCTGGAACGTGTTCATAAACTGTTCCGGTAGGTAATGCTCGACGAGATCCCCGGTGGGACCTGGTACATAAACGTCGACTTCACTTAATTTCGCCACGGTAATTGCCGCGTTCAGCGACTGCTTGCTAATGTACAACTGGTCTCCGCCGTGTTATCCCCGGCGAACGTCTGCGCAGCCCCTTGACACTGCCCCTCCACTCCTGAGGAATTCACCACCTCACACAACGACACAACGTCCTGGAACACAAGCGATGTCCGCACACATTTGTTCACTGTAAGGATATTTCCCTTTCCTTCAACTCTCACCACACATCCCTTCCACCCATAACCAATTCACACGGACGGACTGACGCGACTGCACGCTTATCACCAAATCCCTCCTCATTACTTGGTTCTCTACGGTCCACCACATCCTTCCAGTCATTAGTTCAAACATCGGCGGCGAAAGCCGCGCCGTCGCATCTCTGCTCGATCCCCCCCGGCCCCCTTTGGCGTTTCCGGCGCCGCTGCCGCCGGCGACGCGCCCCCCACCCCACCCCCGCCCCCCGCCCATTACCACCCCGGATCTGTCTGGCCTGTTCTTCGTCTTCAGGTTATCACTACCCTTCCTCAGTCCTTTCGTTATCCCCTCACCTATTGTTCAACTACGTGAAGAAATTGCCTCTCCTCTCTCTCCGCCACTTGCGAGGGGATCGTGTCGGCATCCGGGCCGCCGTCCCCCGCTTCCCCCTCCTCCTACAGAGCGCCCCGCGCCCCCCCCCCTCCGAATGAGCGCGCCCGCAGGTGCGTCGGAAAAATCACCTGTTTCTCCGCTCCCGCGCCCTCCTGCCGCTGCGCCCCCGCCTCTCCACCGGCTCCCTCCTTGGAATCCGACACATCTACATCGTCCGGTATCCACGAAGGCCAGCGGCAGGAGGGCGCGGTTGTCATATGGTGCTCCTTCAGGTAAGATCGCAGGGCATTTAGGTAGAGATCTTTCAGCGAACGACAGCATTGACACACTCTTAGAGTCTTGGGATTGACCGCTACCATCTTCACCCGAATAGAACGCCCGGTCATTATAGCTGTATATGGGGCAACTTTCAGTCCAGAAACAGCGATAATGACCGGGCGTACTATTCGGGGTGAAGACGCTAGCAACACCTCGTTGCAGTAGAACGCGGCCGTTTGCCGCATCTCACTGACGTGGCCGTTTGCCGCATCTCACTGATTCCGAAATGCTTACCGGCGGTGAAAAGCACCCAGGTCAGCGCCTGCATGCTCTCGGAGTCGGCTTTACGGGAATTAGTCTTTTTTCCCTTTGTTCAAAGCGTTGGCCTATTGTAGATCAAAGCGTTGGCCTTCGTGATGCGTCTACAATAGGCGCAGCGATGGAGATGATCGTCTGCATCCCTGGGGCTTTGCATTGGGTCATCATGAGCAGAATATCTTGCGCTCTGCGACGAAGGCCGTCTCCAATATAAAGCTTGGACAGGTCCAAAACCTTCGCGCCATAACCTTCCCGCCAATCTCTCTGCCCACGAAATCACGCGCGCTACTTGATTCTTGATAATCTCGTGGAAATCGGCGAACGGAGGGAGACACAGGTATCTCAGGCTCCTCCCGCTGCAGCATTGGCAACGGAACGGAAAATTCTCTCTCTATTCGGCGCTCACGTCGGGGCAATAGGCCCTCCCGCCTCTGATGCTGCGCCCCCCTCGCTGGGCACTCCATTTGCCACAGCACCACCCCCGCCGCTGACCGGAGAATTCAGTCCCAATTGCAGTTGATTAACATCTAGGGTTTCAAGCCTATCAACAGCCGCCTCAACCCGTTGTATGAAAGCCTTCAACGAGGCAGCGCCGCCATGAGTGCTGCCGCCAGAACGCCCTCGCCACCGGTATAGCCCACGTCTCCTACATTCAACCGCCCCCGCCCCCCCTCACCTCTTGCTTTGCCCTTTTAAGGCGCCACTTTTACCCCCCGCGTTGCCCCGCCTCTTTTTCTTTCCCCTTCCCTGCCTTCTTTCCTTCCCCTGTCCCGCCTCTTTTCTTCCCTTTCCCGTCTCTTCCTCCCTTCCCCTTCCCCTTCCTTTCAACGAGGCGGCGGCCGCCAAGACTGCTGCCTCCAGAACGCCCTCGCCACCGGTGTACCGCGCGTCTTCTATATTCACCCCCCCCGCCCCCCCTCTTGCTTTGCCCTTTCTTGGCGCCATTTTTAACCCCCTTTCCCGCCTCTTCCACCCTTCCCCTTTCCCTTCTCTTCAACGAGGCGGCGGCCGCCATGACTGCTGCCTCAAAAGCGCCCTCGCCACCAGTGTACCGCGCGTCTCCTATATTCACTCCCTCTCCTCTTGCTTTGCCCTTTTTTGGCGCCACTTTTACCCCCCTTTCCCCCGCCTTTTTTTCCTTCCCCTTCCCCGCCTCTTTCCCCGCCTCTTTCCCTCCCCTTTCCCGCCTTTTTCCTTCCTCTTTTCCGCCTCTTCCTCCCTTCCCCTTCCCCTTCCCCGCTTCACGTAATGTATCTTGGTACAAATGTACAAAGAACTGCGCGCCGTCCTCTCCTTCCGCTAGATCATTAACTCATTCCCGCGCTTCCTTCTCCTCCTACTCCTAGGTGCTCGTCCCCATGACTTCCCTAGCCTACCCCGCCTCTCCCTCCCTTCCCCGCTTCCCCTTCCCCGCTTATTGCAATGTATCTTGGTACAAATCTACAAAGAACTGCGCGCCGTCCTCTCCTTCCGCTAAATCACTAACTCGTTCCCGCGCTTCCTTCCTCCTCCCCCTACTCCTACTTGTTCGTCACCGCGGCTTCCCCAGACTCATCCGCCTCTTCCTCCCTCCCTTTCCCCTTCCCCTTCCCCGCTTCTTGCAATGTATCTTGGTACAAATGTACAAAGAACTGCGCGCCGTACTCTACTTCCGCTAAATCACTAACTCGTTGCCACACTTCCTTCCACCTCCTACTTGTTCGTCACCGTGGCTTCCCTAGACTAACTCCAAATGCTCCTCCTACGCTACACTCTCGCCCTCCTCCCGTCTCTCCTTGTGCATCGTCGACACGCCTACTGCTGCTGGTGCTGCTAAGTCAAGTACGCAAACAATTGGCTGTCAATCGGGGGGGTGCCAAACTCCCTTCTCTTCCCTTTCCTCCCCTGCCCACCACCACCACACCCCCCTCCTCCTCCCTACTTTCAAGACGAGGTAATGTGCTGCGATTGGGCGGGAGACATAACAAGGTCGGCGGGCGACGGAGAACGCGCCAAAATTTGAGAAGAGGAAATTTGTGGAGTTGGGTAGCTTCTGCTGAGAGCGCTCACAGAAGCCAGGGCATGACAGGTCTGGCGTGAGAAAAAAAAAAAAAAAAAAAAAAAGACAGGTCTGGCGCGAAAACGATGCGCAGGTATGGCGCGGAAATGATGCTACTGCAACCGTCCCCCGAACAGAACACACCCTGATAATAAATGTATACAAGCTATACTTCCGGTCAGGTACAGCAGAAATGGGGGTGCGTTGTGTTCGGGGGAAGACGGTAGTCCTCTACTACAACCACGGCTACTGTGCTGTCAGCTCAGCACTCAGAGCCAGGAGCGCAGAAATCGTGGTCGACCGCAAAAGACATGACTCGACAGTGCCACGAGGCATCGACAATTTCGAGAGATGTAGCGCCAGCAAATCGCACGCGTTGAATGCAACGAAAAATGAGTTGAGGTAATTACTAACACCGACTATCGGCACGACACGACCACTCCCTGCTTCATTCCCTCCTCTGCTCGCCGGCTAATCCTACTCCTCCTCCTTCCTCTCTCTCTCTCCGTCCGCTCGTCTTTCTGTTTCCGCCTCTCCTCTTTCTCTTTCCACCTCTCCTCTTTTCTCCTCAATCAACTCTTGTCAGCGATCGCCTCCGCCCCTTTCTGCTGCGGGACTGATTAGAGGGCTCCACAGATGTGATGAAAGATCGATCTACTCCCCGCTGCCTTAAGTGGTAATGCGCATTCAATATCGTACAGGCAAGCTCGCGGGCATTGGGGTTTGGGAACGAATTACATTCAGAGGGCCTGCCCTGATCTATCGATTGATTGATTGATTGATTGATTGGATTGATTGATTGATTGATCGGCGCCACAGCTGCGGTTTTACTGCAATGCCTACAAAAAAGAAAAAAGAAGCAACGCGGCCTGTTCTGCAATTGCAGCCAGCGTCTCTCCACCAACAATGAACGCTAACTTCCCCCAGTGCATCCCCCTCCCCCTTCGACCAATTAAACAATCAATCAATCAATCACGTAAGCAATCAATTAATCAACCAATCAATCAATCAATCGATCAACCAGCCAACCAACTAACCAACCAATCAATCAATCAACCATCAATCAATCAGCCAACCAACCAAAACCAGGGTTGATTGATTGATTGATTGATTGGTTGGTTGGTTGACTACAGCTTCAGACGAGCTGCGCCAGAAAGGATTTTGCCAACAGAATAAAAAAAGAAAAGGACCGAAATAAAGAAACGCTGCGTCAAACACTCCTTCACGACGATATCGAACGTGAATACGGAAGGCCGACCGTTTCGTAAGGGAGAGAGCGAGAGAGAGAATCGCCCGCCAGAACCCCCCAGACGCCCGTCCCTCCCCCGACCTCACCCGAGGACCCCCAGACCCCCGCCCCTCTATCC